ATTGGATTTCTTCATAGATCTCCACCATCTCTGGGTCACGTCCATGAAGTTTTTCTTTGAGAGAATTGCACTGGATGCGAATTGGACCCTTGGGAAGATCCGATAGTATGGCATCAAAACGCAACATCATGATTGCAAGGCTTGCAGTAATGTGGAATTCAAGGCCACGCTTATAAGCTTTACCACCAAAGATCCTGCGAAGAGATGCTGAGGTGTACGCACCACATTCAATAGCACACGTGTCAAGACCGCTACCATCGATGGTTTTGCCAAGAGCATGTAAGGCAGCGAAAGCAATGTGGAGAACTCCAGCTCTTAAGATCCATTTGGCGTTTCCCACCGACTGCTGAATCTTCAACGCTCGGGAGTAAAGATCGAGATCTAGCGTTATCAATGTCTTTCTGTGAGGGCCAACAACAGTCGCAGATATTCCCTGGGATAACCGAAGAACAGTATAAAGGGTCCCATAATCAGTTGGCGATGTCTTGAATAATGGGGCAACCACCGCTGTGTTTGTAGGCGTGCTAGCGTGAGAGGATTGAGACAACAATAAGGACCTAGTTGCAGCCCATGTTGGAAGAACATCATTCTTTGCGAGTTTATCTGATTTCTTCACCTGCTTTTTGATGATCACGACAGAGTCTGTTTCCTCTCTGTCCTTTGAAGACCCAGCTTCCCCCTTGTTGCTAGAAGGCTCAGTTTCCTCATCATTTGTAGACTCTGCATCACTTGGCATCTCTTCACTGCGCTGGGCTTCTTCATCGTGCAGCTGAGGTTCAGTTTGGATCATTTCTCCGTTGTCATCTGTTGTAAGGTAGTTCACAAGAGCCCAGGTATGAGTGAATTCTTGAGAAATGAGATTTTGTTTCCTCTTCTTGTAGGCCTGAAATCTCAGTGGGCTGGTTCTGATGACTGGCTCTGGAAGCACATTCACCTCAAATGCTAGAAGGTCTTGCGAAGAAAGTTTCTCGGGTATGACAAGTGGTTGATTCACTGGCTCTCCATCTACAGCCTGTTGGTTGATTACAACCACTGTCCCGTGAAAGGTTCCTTGCCCTGTGGGTGTGTCTTCCAAGAGATCAATGTTGTCAATGGCAAACCAGATGTTCACACCCTTCTTGACAAAATCAGGAAGACAAAACCCCCCAGCATCCTTCATTCGTTGAAGAACTGACTGCTCAACTCTCTTTTCTAGATCAAGTATCTTGTGATAGTCACTTCCAATGTAGACTTCTGAAAGGTTTTGAACAAGGTTCTTGTCACGAACTCGAGAGTGGATAGCAAGAGGCAGTCCAATTGACAAGGGTGATAGGATGTTTTGACGAAAACTGTGATCTCTCTTTGGTTGATATTTTACTTGACGATCAGTATGAGTGTTTTGGACGAGAAATTGACAAGCTACATCGACAGTTTTGTCTACTTCTTGGTCCCGCATTCCAGACACTTTAACAACATGACTACCAAAGAGGAGGTCGCTTAGGAAGAATTGGAGTAATGATGGATTCTTGAAGTCATCAAAGGTACCTGTAAATGACCAGCCGTGCATTTGCATAATTTGGTGTCGGAGAAGGCCAGCCACTTTCCTCAAGGTACCAATTATCTCACCATCATCCATCAATGAAAGACTGAGATCAATAGCTTTGCTGACTGTATTCGATTTGACAAGCTTTTCTGGTTCGTTGCGTCGCAATGAGCTGACAAACTGGACTTCTGGAAGACGTTCACCGATAAGCTTTTTCAAATATTTGCGATAGTGTTTAGTCTCATCAATTTCTGTGTGATATCTTTTCAGGATTGACAAGTAAGCATCATTAACCTGAGCCATGTTTAGTGTAACATCATCAGTGAGGGTGTTTTCAATGGCGAGGATGAGTTGCTCGTCACATAATGTGCGAGTAAGTGACGCCTTTTCATGGTCTACGTTTGATGTCAATGTACGTTTTGCAGCACGAAGACAGTTCCTGTGATAATACTTTTCAAAAGCTGAAGCATCACCAACGTCTTCTAGGTCTGCTACGCAAATTCTTACTTGGTCATCCTGGGTCTCCTGCTTTATCTCAAGAAGTTTTTGTCCCATTGCATCAGAACAAACACGATGAAGAGGTTCTGAACCAGCCTTTGAGCAGAAGTCGCATTGTGAGAATAAACACACCTTTTCCTTTGGAACAGTCTTTGATCGTTTGGGTCTGGCAGGTCCTGTTGTACTGGGAGGTCGCCCGGGTCCTCCTCTTGAACAGCCAGGAGAATCAGGCAGGGATCTCTTTCCCTTGAGACGCTCGATCATAGACTTGTTCACAACAGGCTTCCGACACTCACTATGATAATGAACCAATTTTAGTTCCAGATCACTTAGGCCAGACAGGTGGTCTATAAGCGGCTGCAGATTACTTTCTCCTAAAGACACTCTCTCCCTGCACGACCGTAAAAGTTCATCAATCATGGCTGGATTGTTTACCAGTCGCTTACCTGGGATGGAAGCCCCTTTACAGATCACACATACCTTGTTTTCATCTGACATGGTTGCTAGAACTGTTCATCTCATCCTAAAAACACAAAGATACAAAAGAGACTCCGCCGAACCAGTTTTGATTTATTTCCACCTAAATCAACCATGAATTTCTCTAAAATTCTGTCATTTTCTTTTCTCAAAGTTTGTCAAAGTTTCTCAAAGTTTCTCAAACGGGGGAAACAAATGTGTACTCTGATATGTTAATCTTATCATGGACCTATTCCGAATGGACATTCGTCGTTTTGTTAACAAATTCATTGTGATTGTCTCCGTCAATGTCGTCTCAATAACATTCCCTACATGTTTCTTCACTTTGATCTCATGAAGTCCACCGCCAATAAGCCGGGACAGAATCAAGATAGTGATATTAAACGTGTTAATAAGCACAGAAGCTAATAAATCGCTTAAATCATGAGAAATCGATGTGCAGTTGTCATTAATAATCGGAAATTGTTGTTCCGTGTAACTGTGTTTTATTTTTGAATAACATGTTGATATTACCAGATGGGTTATATTTGGATTGTTTTTTATTTAAAATTACGTTTTCCCCAATTTCCTCATAATATTGCAGAATTACAACGCACATGGCTTATAAAGATCATGGCCTTCTAATTGTTTTATAAGGTCATTGGTGCGTGCGAAAGTGTACGAATCAGTAATAATAAATTTTATATCACCAAAATCGTCTGCTTTTCAACTTTGCTGCTCCCCATTGGTAATTCTTTTTATTTAATACACACTCTTACAGAGCACACCATCCACACAAAACCCAAGAGAGGGATACTGCTCCTTTGTTAATGACCGAAAATGCTTAAACAGTCGTATTGTTAAAACAGCTGAATGTTCTCATTAAGATGCACATAATCAGAAGGCGGTGGATCTCATTGGATCAAATACAGAATAACGTTGAATGTCCTTCCGTAATAGGTCCATGATCTTATATATATATATATATATATATATATATATATATATATATCAATGCATACAATGTTTCCCAATTTGTCAATTTAACCATCTAAATTCATTGATTGATCAAGAGTAATAAAGATCTCTCTTTTTTTCAATTTATTTTCTTCTTCTCTAACCGATAATGAAGACCCACATCACAAATTTTAAAATCTAGATTTGCAAAAGCTATATGTTTATGCTTACCTTGGAAAATCAGGCAATTTACTGCAAAATAGGGGTCTTTATTCTGTCAAACTTGCGAAGACCAATGAACAAAACAACTTTTACCACAGAAGAGCTGGAAACAATGATCACAGAGCAGCATAATTATGTAGGAATGTGTGCGCGCTGTGTGCGCGCGAGCGCACTTGCCTGTAAATGTTTGGGTGTGAGTACTGTGAGTATGTGCGTTGGGAGGAAGGGTGTGTGTGCGTGTGCATGAACGTGTGTGTGTGTGCGTATGTGTGTGTGTGTGGGGGTAGATGTGTATACATGAAGGTTGTCTGTATGTTTGTTTCTGTCTCTTTGTGTTTGAAAATGGGCTAGTAAATATTATGATAATGGTAATAAAATACTACACCTTAAAACAGCTGGCTGAACAATGACAAAGGTACGCAATTTGGGCTGACGGGGGTGGGGTAGGGATGGGGATGGGTTGGTTAGAGGGTTTATTCAACTAAAAGTCTTCAAATTACCTTTCTCGCTGTTGAGGGATAATCACAGTTCTAGAAAACAACTCAAGTTTTGTGAAACCAGTCATTAGATGAATGACACACCCAATTTTAGGGGGTCTCATGATAGGAAACTACCCCCCCCCCCCCCCAGAGAGGGGTTGAGGGTCGGGAAAATTTGAACCCCATCAATTTCTGATAGCTTGGACCCCAATCAATCCAAAAATGCCAAAAAATCAATTTTGGCACAAAAGTCCTACGGGAGCTGTTTCAGTGACATACCGTACCACACTAGAAGGATGTGGGCGAATGGCGGTAAATTATTGGATCCACCTGCCACTGGTAAGTTCTCAATTTTGATGGTTGGTTAGTTAAGTTCCATACCCATGTTTTAAAAATCCTCCTTTTGTTTTTTGTTGTCTGCATTACTAGTTAATAAGAAAGTAATTTACTGGGAAAATAATTGTTGATATTTTCCTTTATAAAAATTAAATGTTTTTATTTTTTATTTTTAGGGTTAAACTTCACCACACAAATGGCCTATTTATTGTTTTCCTTGTTTTTAATGTAGGGGACCAGTGTAAGAAGTTGTACGAAAATAAGCGAACTCGGCTAGGAAAGATATTGAACAAGGAGAAAAAAAGTGGATCTGGGCAAACCAACAGAACGACACGTGATGATGAGATAGTGAACACGTGGGGATTTCTGAAGCAACACATTGTTCGTGGCAAGACAACGGCAACTGACACGGTAGGTATATAAATGACCAATTCACAATTTTTATATTGAAATATTAGAATAACCTTGAAATAACCTTCAGAACCCTTTTCATAATTTTCATTTTGATGTTTCTTCACCTTGCAGTTTGATAGAGAAGGGGAAGTGCACGAACGAGAAGATGATGAAGTTTCTATCATGTCAGTTTCAGAAGATATGGATAATGAGACCTTGATCCCGTTGAAGGATCGGGTCCCAAAGTCGGCACGCTCAGAAGCCTCTGGAACTTCTGGCAGTAGAACTCCAGCTTTTCGATTAAGTACTGTTTTGCAGAATAACCTCGACGATGCTCTCCGTCAGGTAGGCATTATAGAACTTTTTTTTTTTTTTTTTAACAATTGAATACATTACCTAAGCCGGATCCGCTTTCAATAGTTCCATTTGGAAACTATAGAAATTAATTCACAACAAAAAGTATCATTGAAAATTAATTCTTCGACAATCGATCTAAATTTGTTGAGTATATGGCAGTAAATGACAGTAATCAGACCCTGACTTTAATTGCCTTACTAAATTACATTTGGTTATATTGTTTATGCCTTTCAGGTTCTTTCAAGAGCGGATAATTTGGGCCAGACAGCTGCTTTGACAGGTCAAAAAAAGATCGTCCATGATTTTGCCTGTCTTCTGGAGGGCCATATGCAGAAAATTCCAGAGCAATCGTGGCACAGTTTCCAAATTGAATGTCTGCAACTCGTTCACAATTTCAAACAGCCAACCAGGCCAACTCAACCATGTCAACAGCAACCCTCGTCATGGCAGTCAAACCAGTGGCCAATCAATAGTCATTGGTCCAATTTCAATCAATGGTCTCCAGCAAGTCCATCCTACAACAATGTTGGGATGCCAGCCGCGCCTTCAGCTGTGCCTGTACCGATACCAACGTCTTCTCAGCAGTCCACTGCTTCGACCTCACCCTCCCGACGTAGTAATGAGATGGTTTCCTTGGTTCTGGAAGAGCTTGGAGAAGAAAAATAATGTGTTCAACAGCAGCCGGTGATTAAGAAAAGGCAATACTGGTTGCAAAACTAACGTCTTCCATATCGGGACACTCTTTCAGTACTTACCTTAATTCTTACATGGTAAAAAAAAAATAAAAGTAAAAAAGAAATTGTTATTTGTTGTTGCCTTTGCAAGGAATTTTATTAAAAACCCACTCGGCAAGAAAACCATTTATTTATACATTTGGAACAGAGGTATAATATTTTCTGAAACGTAAACCAGAACTACACACTGAAGAGCAAGGGTAAAATGTGAGAGTTTGATCAAAGTCGGAAAATATATTCCAGATTTTTGAATGTTCTGAGTTCCAGGGAGAGCTTCGATGGATATTCTCGATTTAGACATTTTGACATATACTCATGCATGATGCTTTTATCAAGAAACAAAATGAAAGGTTTACTGAGTGGAAGATTAAAGTTAATGCATCTTTTTGGTTCCTACGTTTTTACATTTGTTCTAGTAGTTGATTAGTTCATGTTACTCACTTGTTACAACTTTAAAGTGTTCAAAATATCATTGAGAAATCTTGGTAATTATAACATGTCTATAAGGTAGTTCAAATTGGAGATTCAGTTGTCAGTCACCATGAAACTAAACGTTATCCTGCAGACTTATTTTCTTTTCTTCATCACACGTTATTTAAATTGCATTTATGTGAGCATATCTACTCGGTTATGTTTCTTTTATTAAAAAACACGCAATTCGTGCATTCTGATTGCTTCTGATTACAAGTCTCTTATTACACACAAAAAACAAAACATGTAAAGTTGTTTATATTAAGAGTAACATATTGACAAATCAAAGGCTAATCAAAGACTGCAAAGATAGGTGAATATCAAGGCCTTTAATAAAATGGGTAACTATAAGCACTTGATATTTTTCATTGGATTTCAAAAATGATTGTTAAGTTTCCGCACAATTAGTTCAAGTGCACCTATTCATACGAGATAACACCGTCAACTGTTTGACTATAATTATACATAGCATCTTCTTAAACGATGTAAAAGCATGATCGTATCAATAAATGATATTCAATTTCCCAGTTTTTCCTATCTCTCACAGATGTTTTGTGTAAAATATGATTGATGAATGGATACAATAATTCATTAATAAAGCGCAAGCTGAACGTCTCCAACGTCAGTCTACCGTCTGATCCGCGTTCAGGAAGCGTTTTTAATTTTCAAAAACGCTGGGCCGACGCAGGCTAAAAACGCAAAGGTGTGACACAGCCTTAACACGTGACTCTTGGTCACGTGTCATGACGTATGTCATGCACTTCCTGTCTGCTATAGCTTATTATAACTTTTTGTTTGTAAGAATCCGTTTTAATCCATGAGTGGTTATTTTTCAAAACATTCAAAAGGTTGAATCTATAAATGTATCTGTACCCGTGTTTATATCGACCCCCCCCCCCCCCCCCAAAAAAAAAAAAAAAAACCAAACTGTTCTTCTTGCGTTAAAGGGTTGCAAAGGGGGGATTTAAAAACAATAAGATATAATAAAATACCTGCAGAGAAGTGCTTGGCATACTTCAAATCGATTCCGACGCAAGCACGGAGAAAGATCAGCATTGTAATGAACCTAATAGCCTTACAATAGATGATCAATTACGAGACTACAAAGCAAAACATCAGCTCCTGAGAGCATCAATGGTCACGCAGAATGCCCATTCAACCGATGTTTTGATTGTTGGTGATTCCATGGTAAAGGACATCAACCCTTCGAGGCTATCAAGAAGACCCGTTAAGTGCAAGACATTCAGAGGCGCTCGTATTGGAGATGTTTGTGACATTGTTTGTGAGCAAGCTATTCAGCAAAATGCTAAAGAAGTAATCCTTCATCTAGGTTCGAACGATGTCACTTCACACGACGCAGATGAAATTGTTGCAAAACTTGAGTCCCTGGCAGAACAAATTGTCAAACTGACACCAGCCAAGAAAATAAGTGTCTCGACAATAATCCATCGTCGCGGAGAATCAGCAAGCGATTTCGAGAAAGTGCGCAGTGTAAATGAAATGTTGAAACTTCTAGCCAATCGCCGCAGCTGGGGAGTCGTGGACAATGAAAACATCACTCCTGACACACACCTCGCCGCTGATGGCGTACACTTAAACGGCTACGGAGTACGTGTATTGGCACAGAATATCATCGCATATCTTCGAGGATCCCGCCCTGCGTTTCATCGTGACCAGTTTCCATCAACTACTGTTTATGTTTCTGGTCCGGCTAGTTTGGATAACGAATATCCTCGGCTCCAATCTCAATATCCTGATGCTCCGTCTTTTCAGATGATGAGCAAAGCGAAATTCCGCAAGAAAGCGTCCGACCGTGTTTTCCCACGAGACTGGCTAGATTGTCTACAAACAGCCCGGAGACTCCTCAACAGTCACATAGATTAGACAATAGTCATGAAGACATTGATGACTTCAATCGATCAAGTGATTCAGTTCGAAATAGTGACAATGCAGACAGTAATAGCAATCAAGAAGCCTATCTTGAACTTGCTGATGATGGAAGTATACCAGTTATTTCAAAACGAGGATTACGTATGTGTCATTTGAATGTTAATTCCTTACCAAATAAACTTGAAGACCTAAGGTATTTGTTAAGAAATTCTCCCTTCGACATCATTGGCCTTACTGAGACTCATTGTGATAACACGGTTAGTGACAACGAACTGCATATTGATGGTTATGATTTACTAAGGAAAGATAGAAGTAGGCATGGTGGGGGCGTGATGATTTATTTGAAGAACACCCTCCACTTTCAACATGTGAAAGATCTTGGGTTAAACTTAGAAACTATTTGGATAAAAACCAAGGTACGGAACGTGAAATCATTTTTAATTTGTGTTATGTACCGTCCACCGAACTCTTCAGTTGATTATTTTGATTTAATGTCTGCTATGATGAGTAATGCTCTAGATTTTGATTGTGAACTGATTATATTGGGGGACCTCAACTGTGACCTACTTTCTGACAATGTCGATTCATCGACACGATCTCTTATGACTGTAATGCAGGGATCACTTTTGTCACAGTTGATTGAGATTCCTACTCGTGTGACCCAGCATTCTAAAACACTTATTGACCATATTTATACAACATGTCCGGACGATCACAGTATTTCAGGTGTCATAAAAACTCACATTAGTGATCATTTTTTGATATTCACATGTTTACATTCTAGAAGTGCTGGGAATGTTCATAACGATATCAAATTCAGAAACTTAAAAGAATTTAAGCAGGTAAATTTTGTCAACGATCTCTTTAACTTAATGTTTAGAGAATTAGCTTGTGTTAGCAACGTTGACACAGCTTGGAAATTGTGGTACAATCAAGTAATGTCAGTTATTAATAAACATATGCCATATAAACACAAAAGAATGAGGAAAAAACCCTCTCCTTGGATCACAGGTGAAATTATTACATTGATAAATAAAAGAAAGTATCTCCATAACAAGGCTTTAAAGTTTAACTCCTCAGGATTATGGAAAGAATATCGTAGAATACGTAACATGGTAACAAGTTTAACTAAAAAATCTAAACAAAAGTATATACAGGGTTTATTGCAAGATAAGTCTGGTGACCCTGGTGCATTATGGTCTATTCTAAAGCAACTATCCTCTAGCACTGGTCAGCTTTCCATAAAATTGAATATTAATGATGTTGAAATTTATCAGCCTGAAATTGTTGCCGAAAAACTGAACGACTACTTTATTGATAGTGTTTCAGAACTCCTGGGAAAAACAGATTGGAGAGCTAGTGAAACCACAATTCCAGATGTAATTGTCAGTTGTCCATTGCCACAGGAGAATTGTGAGGACCTTGATCATGTTGATCGTCAAATTTTTGATATTCCTCCAATCACCTACGATTTTGTTGTAAAAGAAATTGATAGCCATTCTGTAAAAAAAGCGACAGGGCCTGATGACATCTCTGTTAAAATGTTGAAAATGATGAAATATGCCACAAATGTAATAGATGGTCTTATTTATATTTTCAACCTTTCTTTGTCAAAAGGGCATTTTCCAAAAGCATGGTGCTTGGCCAAAATTCGCCCTATTTTTAAGGGCGGTGATCGATTATGTATAGAAAATTATCGACCAATATCCTTATTGTCAATTGTTTCAAAAATTTTGGAGAAATGGGTACAAAAGCATTTACAGACATACTTATTAAATAGCGATTTCTTCAGTGAAAGTCAATTTGGCTTTAGACCAAAGCATTCATGTGAAAGTGCTCTATTGTGTATGGTTGATGACTGGGCAACCGAAGTTGATAGGAGTAAATTTTGTGGGGTAGCGTTTATTGATATGCGTAAAGCCTTTGATTCTGTTAACTACGATGTATTGCTGAACAAACTTTCTATGATAGGATGCTCTGAGAATGCATTGGCATGGTTTAAATCCTACTTTTGCTTTAGGGATCAATTGACAGAAATAGGGGGTAAATTATCCAATACAAGGTCAACTATCTCTGGGGTACCACAAGGCTCTGTTTTAGGGCCCCTGTTGTTTACAATATATATTAATGATTTGGTTTCCAGTATAAAGTCAGGAAAAGTTGTCATGTTTGCTGACGATGCAACTCTGTATGTTAGTGGTAGTAATCTTGAATCGGTTGAAAGTCAACTAAATTCTGCAATGAATGAAGTCTACAAGTGGACATCTAAAAATAGATTGGTACTAAATGATAAAAAAAACGAAAGTGATGCTTCTTGGTTCTCGACAACGATTGAATACCTTGCAGGATAAAAAAATATCTGTTATAATTAATGGTACCTTACTAGAATGTGTATCTGAATATAAGTGTCTGGGGGTGTCGATTGATGATACTCTGACATTCAAATCTCATGTTACTTCTATTGCAAAAGTCATGAAACAAAAACTTGGCCTAATTAGAAGAAACAAGTATATATTTAATGTTGATCAACTCAAAAGATTATATTGGGGATTTGTTCTCCCCCATGCATTATATTGTTCAACCGTCTGGTCATCTTCATCCGAATCTAACTACAAAATATTAAACACGCTACACAAGCGCGCAGCATATATTGTAAGTGGATATACTTGGGAAACCTCATCGGAAACAGTTTTTCGAATACTAGCCTGGCCTACTCTAAAAGAACTGTTTAACAAGTCAATATCATGCATGGTGTATAAATGTGTAAGTGGGGTAGCACCATCCCAGTTAAGTAGTAAATTTGTTCTAAATGACAATGTCTCTACACGTGTAACACGAAGCACCAACAGGTTGTTATTACGTATCCCTCAATGCAAAACTCAATTTTATCGGAGGACATTTGTACCAGTTAGTGTAAATGAATGGAACTGTTTGTCCGATGAATGTCGATCTGCCCAGTCCTTAGCCATTTTCAAGAAATGTATCAAACCTGGCAATAAATAGCTTTTTTTAATGAAGGTGGAGGAGGGGGTAGCAGTGAGGTCAAATTCATCTTATGCTTGATTTTAATGTAATTTTTAGTTTGTAAACAGGTGGTAAACAGGTGTGTGTGTGTGTGTGTTAGCTTTCGTTACCCCTGTTATTTCTATATATAATATTGTTCATTGTCATTTTATGTTGTTTTTTAAACAGAGCCCTGTTGTAAACCAGCCTATTTTAATGTTTTTAACAATGT